TTAATACAGATTTTCTATGATAGTCTTACAGATTCTTATAGAAATATGGTTGATGCTTCCAATAATGGAGCTTTTCTGCGTAAGAGTCCAGCTGACGCTTGGGAACTGTTTGAGGCCTTAAGTGAAAACTCAGTACAACATGCTTCTTCCTCTAGGTCTAGGTCTTCACCTGGAATGTATAAGGTTGAATAACTTTGAGGTAAATAAATCTAGTGAGTTAGCCGCTCAAATAGAAGCCTGGAACCGTAGGTTCGATCAAATTTTATCATCTGGCTTCACTCCTATTGCTAATCCACAAACTGCCTTACCCAAGGAAGTTTGCTTAATCTGTGTTAATCCCAATCATTTTGCTGACACTTGCCCTATGCTGGGACAATCATCTGAGATCCCACAGGAGTAGGTGAATGCTGCATTCTCTAGACCAGCTTATAATCCCTATTCTTCTACATATAATCTTGGCTAGAGAGATAATCCCAATCTACCATGGCGTAATCAAAATCAAGGAACCACTGTTCCTCAATCATAGGGGCAGTATCAAAATTCATCCAATTCTATGCCATAAAATAATTCTTTCAACCAATCTGGTATTTACCGTCCACCTCAGTTTAGTAATTAACCTACTCAAGCTCCTAATCTTTTACCTTCTCCTAGAAATTCTGCTTTTGAGGATCAAGTACTCAATACTCTTGTTGATCTTAAAGCCAATATCCAACTTCTTAATTCTCATTCTCAAGCCATAGCAAAACTAGAGGCACAAGTTGGGCAAATAACAAGTACTCTATCTCGAAGAGTGGATGAAAAGCTGCTTAGTCAGTCAATAGCCAACCTAAAAGGGCAGACTTACATGATTGATGAAACTAGGTATTCCTTATGAGCAAGTTCAGGCTATCACTACATTGAGGAGTAGTAAAGTGGTTGATAACCAAGTTGAGAAAGTACAGGAGGAAAAAGAAAGGCTTAGGATTCTCATTGTTCCTATCATTCATAATCCACATCTCAAGGATGTTTCCTCAAGTTCTATTCTGTAATCAACAAAAGGAGTTGAAGATGGAGTCACTTCTTCATCTGCTCCTAACCCTGAGACAGCTTATGAGCCAAAAGCCCCTTTACTTACTCTATTGAATTTTCGAGGATGGTGTTTAAATAGATGCAGTTGCCTCTGGATTAGCGTTACCGAATCATTAGCGCTGGTTGCATAGGAGTTTGTGTTTTATTCTATGGCACTTAGAGGAATTCGGACCATTACCCTTGTTAAATTGGGAGGATTATGTTATGGTTTGATACAACCTATGCGTTGTGTGAGTATTGTGTTTCTTAAATATAAGAACCATGTATACTACTTGGTATAATGGAGTTAAGTGGAGCCCTTATAGTACGGTTGCTCTACTTGGGAATAGGAGGATGTTTTCACTCACAGTTTCCAAACATAATGGAAGAAAGTAAGGGCGAATTTCGAGGACGGAATTCCTTTTGTTAGGGGGGAAGAATGTAATACCCCTAATTTTAAAAGGATAGTCTCGGTATTTATTTATTTGTTTTAATTGAATTATTTGTATTATTTATTTTAATTTATTTAAATGGATTATTTGACTATTTGTTTATGTGTTATTTGCATTATTTGTTTAGATTAATATGTATGTGATATTTGTATTTGTTTAATTTTTATTTGTTAGATTAAATGAATTTGTGGTTTATATATATATATATATATTTTATAGTTAAAAAAGATAGATTTGGGTAGTAGTAATAGGCCAACCAATTGGGTCCCATAGACTACTTGGATAGGAGATTGGATGGGTATGGATAATTACCCATAGATAGTTGTATATATATAGAGATATATGAATATACAGATAAAGGGAAAAGTAATTTATAAATTACTTTTATGGTAATTTGGGTATTAATATTTAATCTGATATATATGTTTTATATTTAAATAATAAAAATATACATAGATTTGATACGTGTTATGTTTTGGGTTACTTTATTATTTTATGGTAACTTAGGTATTATTGGATAATCCATTAATAAATAATGGGATGTATTTAGAGATATATAAAAATTATATACATTACATACTTTACTTACCTTTTTAATATTTTAATATGTATTTTTTTTTAAAGTTGATTTGGATGGGAAAAAGGATTAGGGTTTTGTTTTAAACCTATAATTATATAGCTATAGGTTGTAAAAGGGGGCTAGAAATATCACGTAATATTTTCTAGAGAGAGAGAGAGGATAAGGCCAAAGTATTAGGCAGGACCAAGGAGGAAGGTGGAGGGTTGTAACAAGAGCAGAGGAGTCCTTAACGGCAATCACGATCGCTGGGAAAACTGGGAAGAAGGAGTTAAGGTTTCAATTCGAAACCTAGAGGCAAGTTCTATCTCTAACTCTTTCCCTTAGACTTGTATTCTGTGCATGCCTAGATAGTCTCCAGGATTAAAATGGACATTAAAAATAATCTGTAAATCATGCTTGAAGCAAATTGATTTAGTAAATCTTAGTTTTCTATGGTTGATCTTATGCATAAATTGTTAAATTCATAATTCGATTTAATTGTTTTGTGATTTGATTTCATGTTTTATATAAGGTTCTGTTATATCTATATATGGATGGAACGTAGAAACATGCCTAGGATTCCTGAAACAAATAAGGATTTAGTCACAGTTGAACTTCTGGGTTATTCACGTAATAGTGTCGGACCACTGTTATAGTGCTCGAGCATTTGATTGGGAAGCTTGAGCATTGGGATGGGAAAGCTCGAGCATTTGGTTGTGAAGCTCGAGCATTTGGATGGAAAGCTCAAGCATTTGGTTGTAAAGCTCGAGCATTAGGATGAAAAGCTCGAGCATTTGGTTGTGAAGCTCGAGTAATTGGGATAAAGAGCTTGAGCCTGCAGTAGGATGCTTGAGCCTTGGACAGAAGCTCGAGCCTTAGCTGGTAAAGTCTCGAAAACAACGTTGTATGATTTGTAGATTGGATTTGTGGAGTCCTAAACATCAAATAAGGACTAGGGAGGATTTAAATAAACTTTAAACAAAGGATGGAGAATGCTTAAGTGATGGTATAGAAAAAATATATCAATCTGTTTAAGATTCTGTATGTGTAGGATATGTGATATAGGAAACTTAAGTAAATTATAAGTTATCCTATCTTGTGTTAGCATGATATGATATTATTATGTTTAACTTTGGATTATTTGATAAACTACTAAAATTGTATTATCAATTATTGGACTGGTTTGTAGAATTATTTGATCTATTACTTTGAATGTTGCATCATCTATGGATTTTGTCGATTTTATGCACCAGTATGGGATGGTGGCATATTAGGGATAGATTAGATCAAAATGCTAATTCCTACCTATTCATACATAACGGAATGGATTAACTAAAAAGGTTAAATCCTACATATATTCATGTCAGGTCAACTAAACTAGTTGAATGACATACTGGATGTTTGTTTATTTTATGTTCTGTATTAGGATGGCTTAACTATAATGTTAAATCCTAATTTTATGTAGTGTCTAGGCAATGAACCGTTGAACGGCACTATTATGGTTTTTGGATGGATTTTAAATATATATTATTATGGTACCACGATATGAGCTTGAGTCTTAGAGTCGATGGTTAGGAAGCGATATGCAGTGGGATGCATAACTGGCTATGATGGTTTGACGTGTACCCTGCTAGGTTTAGGTACTCATGCCCACTTCAGCTGCATTTTGCTTGTTGCCTACTAGTCAGGTTGAGACGGCCTGTAGTACAGTAAGAATCCTTTGGTGTGGATATATGTATAGTTATGGACTATATAGTTATTTTTGAGTTATCTAGGGTGTATTTGCGTATCGGGTCTCTGTTTGGACAGTAGTTGGAATAGAACTTGTTTGTGGGTCTGACCCACTATCATTTTTCAGGTATTCATCAGGAGTAGGGATTATTCGTGCTGAGTAGGGATCGTCCACTTCACTTTTCTAGAGTTTCTACATAGGAGTTTTGTTTATGTTTTAGCTTTCAGTTTGTTTTTCTAGGGGTCCGCATAGTATAGATTCCCGAGTTGTATTTTTGGAGGATCAGTTGTATCAAAAGAATTTATCAATTAATGAAAATTTATTCTGAGGTTTAATATTGGATTATCCTTTTAGTTTCTTTTCAGCATTTTTATTAATTCTTATTTATTCTTTTGTACTCTGTGTTCGTTTATTGCTGATTTGTTTTTGATATCCTCGGATGTTCGGGCGTGGGCCTGGCCAACTCGCATTCGGGAATCTGGGGGTATCACACGGAACCGGTCCCAAATCCTAAGAGCCAAATTCCCGTTATCCTTGGTCGTCCCTTTTTGGCTACCGCTAATGCCAACATCAATTGTAGGACGGGGATAATGAAGATCTCATTTGGCCACATGAAAGTGAAGTTGAACATTTTTAATCCACCCCCAACTCTATGGACAAACATGAAGATATATATGTTATTGAAAAATGTTTTACAAATGAATTCGAAAAGAATGAGTCCTTGCTTGGTGTTAAAACATCAAATGGTTTACCTTCAAAAGAAATTTCAAAAGGTGTTGGTTTCAAATCTAGTGTTGAACGGGCATGGAAGCCCAAAAGTTTTGTTGACCAAAGGCCGTCAATTTCACTTGAACCAAATCCAGTAAGTTCCTTAAGGAATAGTTTGTTGGGTGGGGTTCAAAGTTTCATTCACCCCGCTAAGAAGGGGATGTCTACCAAGATCTTTGATCTGGGCTAAAAGAGCCCAACGTCTTGCTAGAGACGTTAAAGACTAGTGTTTCGTAGGGTTTGTCAACCCTATTCCTCCCTCATTTCTTGTTTTGATATTTTTTGCGTTGTCTAGATATGAGTTGAAATTGAAAAATCCAGTTTTCAGGAAGTTTCTTGCATTTTTTGCATTTCCAGTGTGCCTTCGATCAATCAAAACCCAGTTCGATGGATCGAAGTTCCACTTCGATCGATCAAACCCTGTGAATTTATGGCTTTTCGTCCTCCATTTCGATCGATCGAAGCTCATCTCAATCGATCGAAATCCATTTGGATCGATAGAAATAAGTGGTCGATCGATCGAAGACCCCTTTGATCGATCGAAATTATGTCTTTTGAACTTCCGGAACTGGCTTTAGCCATTGGCCTTCCTACCCCAACCCTAATTTTTTATTATTTTTCTCTCTCCTCCCTTCTTTTTTCTTTTCTTTTCTTTCTCTTCTTCTTTTCTTTTCTTTTATTTCTCTCTCTACCTCCCTCTCAACTTTCGGTGTTTTTTTTCTCTCTCTCTCCTCACAAAATCTCTTCTCTTTCTCTCAATCTCTCAAGACTTCTTAAGCTTCCAACTCCGGTGAACCCACTCCATCCACCATCTCTACCTTCTTTCCCTTCCTCATTCCGGCAAAACAAGACGCCGTCAAGCTCCATTAATTCCGGCGAAGAGTTTTGGCCCAAGGGCCAAGCCGTCATCTCTCTTCACTCTACCTGTCTCGGGTTCCCTCGTTTTAGTCGTCTCCGGCTGATTCCGGCCAATGAGACTCCGATCTCCATCTCCGGCGAGTCCTACACTTTCTGGCGAGCTTCCGGTCACGGTGAGGCCGGAAATCCTCCATTTCACTCCGAACCTCTTCATTTCAATCCTCTCTTCCTTCTCTTGGTTCGGGTATGTAGGAATTTATTTTTGTTTTATTTTTCATTTTTATTTTTTTATTTTTGATTTTAGTGTTATTTTATTTTATTGCATTTTCTTTTCCATCTTAGTTTTATTTCTTATTTAAATTTATAGTTGTATATAATTGTTACAGAAAATAGAAAATGGTGTATAAAAAAATAAAAAAATGAAAAATGAAAATAAAAAAATAAATAATGAAAAATTTACAAAAACAATGGACCATTGGACTAACCATGAACTATGATTATGTTAAATGGAGGATCGAAAAACTTTGTTGAAAAAAATTGGAGAATGGAGTTTAATTGTTGTAATTAGAAGGAAAACGGGCAATTATTGAATTGTGGATTGATGTTGTGGGCGGTGTCCCTTTTGATGTGTTGGATATATATATTTCATGTGATTTGAACTCCATGTGCTACTTGATATTTGATTGAATGTATGTGTTTGTACCTTTGAAAATTTTGGGACTATCAATTTTTAAGGGGAAACCATGCCGAATTTTTGCAAAATTAATTTGAACTTTGATTTTAAATTCCAAAAGGCATGTGGTTTATTTTTGAAACTTGAATTGGAATTGGAAAAGAATTTGGAATTAAATTGAAAAGAAAGAAAATTTTCAAGTCTTTGACAAAATTGTCTTGAACCTCCAAGTTAATTTTAAATGCGAAGTTCTCGACTTTGGAAATATCATGATTTTGAAAATTTGTTTGTTGATTTAAAATGCAAAGCTTGAATTTCTAAAAGAACTTGTCTTCTTGAAATTTGAAATGAAATGGAAATATTCTTGAACTTGAAAAATTCTTGATATCTTGAACTTGAAAATTTCTTGATATTTTGAACTTGAAATGGCATTGCAAATTTGAATTGTTGTGAGCATGATCCCAACTTGTTTCATTTGCTTGTTTTAAATATGAAATGCATGGATGTGTTTTGAGTTGTCTTAGTTGCATGCAAGCATGACTTGACTTGAAACCCGTGCTTTTGAACTTGAAAAAGCAATGTCTTGTCTAAATTGCATAAATGTATTTCAAATAGACCTCTTTGAAAGGTTTTGATCTCCAATTGACTTTAGCTCATGGTTAGGTGCTTTGTTTTGGCAAAGTGATCCTTAAATATTTAAAATGCTTTGTGATCACACTTGTTGGCTACAAATTGTTAAAATTGGAATTTTTGAATTTTGTTTTGAAATGAGAAGTCGAGTTGCTTAATTCTTTCTTTTGTTGTTCATTCATTACATGATTCTTGTTATGAAGCTTTTATACAATGCATTTGAATGTTTGGACTCAAAGTTTTCAAAAATTCCAATTTTACCCCAAAAGTTTTAAGAAATTCCAAAGTTGACCCAAATGCCCTTACTTGAGTTGAAACTTGTTTCATTTGATTCCTTTCCATCCAATTGCATGTGCCAAGTGCCTTTGAACTTGTTTGCGCCAAATTCTTGATTCTTGCCATGCTAGGGCAGAAGTTTGATGTCTTTTGACCTTCCTTATCATGATTTTGAACTTATCTTGAAAAATGAGATGAATTCCATTCCAACCCAACTTTTTGAAGTCAAATGATTCCATTGTTGCTTTATGACTTTGAAACTTGTCAAATGTGTTCCTATTTGAATAATTGTGTGCATTTTGGAAAAATTGCAACTTGTTACTTGTATATACACCATTTTGGACACATTTATGTCACATTGATGGTTTTGATAGTTTTCGTGCATCCTTTGAACATATCTTCTTGGAATTGAATTTTGAATAAGTTTGGGGGTAGGCAATAGATGTTTAATGTTCAAAAGGCATGATTGGGATGTAATTACTGTTCTTTAGCCTTAGTAACTATTTGTGAGCATAACTTGAACTTTTGAACTGTCATTTGAACTAAGTTGGGAATGCGCTATCTTGTTTTGGAAAATTGATTTGTCCAATGTCATTTGCTTGATATTATCCACTTGTGATCCATTTCTTGAAAGCCAAGTAAGGGCTTGAGACCGAGGTTCTTTCCAGTCCTGATTTTGATTCCAAAATGGTAAGCTTATTGTATTCTCAATTTTTGACCATTCTTTGCTTCATTTAAGCTTTAAAGGGGGTCGCGAGCCAAAAACGATCATTTTTCTGCTTATCTATTGCTTATAGGGGGTCACGAGCCATAAGTGATCATAGGATGTTAATTTTGTTGCAATGGAGTACGGGAGATTTCTTTGTCTGGAGTTTGTTGGTATTTGTGCATCATTCAGATTTATGCCATCTAGTTGCATATTGTGTCCAAGATTCATTCACGAGCTGTGTATCATAACATGCCTTGGATTGAAGTGTTTTGCAACCGTGTATTCCACTTAGTCTTTATTACATGATATGTATGCTTCTTGAGTCTTAGGTTGACATTTTCCATGATTATACTCTCCATGTTATCCTGCTTGCTCCATTTGCTCTTAACTGTTGAATTTGTAGACATTCTTGCTTAGAAATTGATACGATGTCATCCTAGGGTCTACTTGCAATGAAGTTTACAGAATCTTCTTGAGTTTTAGGTTTGTGAATGCACATTGCATCATTTATGCACATCACAACCTATGCTTGTCCTTTTGATCCTATTTTTACTTAAAATGTTCCAAAAGTGACTTTTCTACCCTCTATACCATTATTACACTGTCTTGCATACCTGAGATTGTTATTATGCTTTGATCTATTCTTGTCTAGTTGAAGCATGTTGAATGTTAATTTTAAAGCCATCTTAATCATTTCTTGCGCCAGTATGACCCTATTTATCTACTCTCTATTTCTACTTGCTTTAGGCATGCTTCGTGTTTTCTTATCAGTTGCTTACCCTATTCTCTACCTGTGCATTGATTTATTCTTGTTGCTATTGCAGATACAGCGTAGACAAAAGACACTTGCTAGAAAAAGAGTACACAGAGCTCCACAGCATCCTCCATCTCCAGAGGCAGAGTCTTCTTTGTTTTCATCTTTTGCTACTACAGCATCTACAGTAGTCCATACAGAGCCATCACTTATGGAGGCCTAGGGTCCTATTATCTGAGCAGTACCTTTTTTCTCTTACTCTTGTAGGAAACTGGAGCCCGAGTATAGATTTGACCGTAATCTATTTTTTGAGTTGGAGCAGACCAAGTGGTCTTATGATGAGCTCACTCGCAGGGGCATTGATGCCATTATGACACCAGCAGGCACTATAGCCAATCCCCAGGTGGTTACATGATCGTGTTTTTACTTTATTTTCATCTTCATTTTGGTTACTTATTGTGTTGATTCTTGTTTAACTAGGTGCATTGAGCTAAAAGGCGAGCAAAGGAGCTAAGCAAAGCAAGGAAAATGCTAAAATCTAAAAAATTTTGCAAAGCTAAAACTGGAAAATGAATTGAAGTGCTAAAGGACCCTTTGTGAGCTCTTTTTTAACTCAACCTCTAGTTAAATCGTCAGCCCGCGTGGAGGCTTGTATTTCAATTCTTAGATAAATCGTGAGCCCGTGTGGAGGCAATGTTTTTTGTTCTTTACATATTGTTGATAGCATGGGAGTATGGGATCATTGTATGTGGAGGAAGTTTGTTGTTGATTGATTTGTTGCGAAGGTGAAGTTTGTTTGTTCATTGTTTGTTGCTTATTGTGTCTTGCTTGTGCATGCATGGTAGTAGGTCATTAAATCCTACTCTTGTCCCTCTTAATTTGAATTTAGAATCCATTGTTCGTACACCTAGGGGAAGGGGTAATTTTAATCATTCTACTTCTACAATGGAAGTACATAATGAAGACCATGTGGAGGACCTTGGTCACATAGACCAACAAGGTATCCTTCATCCAAATGTGCATCATGAAAACATGCAAGTTCCATTAGACATGCCAAGGCCATTCATTCACCAACTACAACAATAAGGCCAAGTACCATTGGGAATGCCTAGGCCAATGTTTTCTCCACAACCTCCCATAGTCCAAGGCAATCAAGGTGCCCATGTTGCACCACCAGTTGCTAATCCACCTCTTACTTTAAGAGATCACTATGTGCCTAATGAATGTAATGCACCCATATGCATTCAGTTGCCACCATTTAGAGCACACCACTATGAAATCAAACCACAAACCATTCAAATGCTTCCTAATTATCATGGACTTCCAAGTGAAGAACCTTACAAGCATTTGGATGAATTTCTTGAAGTATGTTCCACCGTGAGATACACGGACATGCCAGAAGAGGTCTTAAGGCTTAAACTTTTTCCATTCACCCTCAAAGACAAGGCAAAATATTGGTTCAACAATCTTAGGCCTTTTTCAATCTTGGGCAAAAATACAACAAGAGTTCTTGAAGAAGTACTCTCCAGTTTCTAAGACCAATGCCATGAGAACTTCAATTAGGGAATTTTCACATGAGGATGGGGAAACATTTCATGAGGCATGGGAACGATTTAATGAATTGCTTAGGAAGTGTCCACATCATGACATGCCCAAATGGCAATTAGTTCAATATTTCTTTGAAAGTCTATCGGACAATTATAAAGGCATGGTTGATGCTTCTATGGGCGGCTCTTACATTGATAGGCATGAGGATGATGTGTGGCATCTTTATGAGAGCATGAGTGAAAATTCTTTGCATCGAACTTTTTCTTCGAAGAATGGTAAAATTCTAGTGGAAGGAAGAGTGTTGGCTTACATCAAGTCGACCACTCTAATGAAATTGCCGCCGAGATGAAATCATTATCTCAAAGGTTTGATCAATTCTTGATTAACCAAAACTCGGCGAATCAAGTATCTTCTTTCCCTAACCATTCTCATCATGCATCTAATAAGATATGTATGACTTGTTTAAGTGTTTTACATTCTACTTCCAATTGTCCCCATGGACATGTGCAAAGCGAGCATCATGAACAAGTCAATGCAGCTTTTGTTAATCAAGGGAACAATCCTTATGGCAATCACTATAATTCTAGTTGGAGGAATCACCCAAATTTCTCTTGGAGAAGCCAAGGGGAGGGCTCAAACCCTTCCAAGGTGGCTTTCAAGGAAAGTACATCCCACCTCATATGCAAGGCCAAGGATCCCAAGGATATAAACAATACCAATCATAAGGAAACCAATTCTCGAATTCTCATTTTCCCAATCAATCATATTCTCAAGGAAATGTTAGGAGTCCCACTTTTGAAAAGAAAGTTTTTACCGCTTTAGGCACTCTAGAGGCGAACACACAATTACTTCATTCTCACTCTCAATCCATTACAAAGCTAGAAACCCAAGTAGGGCAAATAGCTAGCACTTTAATTACGAGAGAGAAAGGAAAAATGCCTTTGAATGCCCCACCAAAGCAACAATGTGTTGTGGAGAATCATTCCTCATCGGAAGGTCACACAATAGAGCATGTCAATGTGATAACTACCTTGAGAAGTGGGAAGATAGTGGACAACCAAGTGGGTATGTCCAAGGAAGAGAGTGAACCAGTGCAACCAAAAGTTGACACCCGTCCCGTTTCTTATCTTATTCCTCTTTATTTGCATATGCATGATCTTTCAAATGAGAATGTGTTTAAAAGTGATTTTGAAAAGAAAGATTTGCAACATGATTTCAAAACTTCTTGTGTTGAAGAGACTTCAAAGAAAAATTCCGAAAAGGTTTTTGAACCAAAAGCTCTATTTTCGAATGCCTTAAAATGATCCATTTCAAATGACAAGCAAAAAGCCAAAACAAATGAAATTATGGACATGTTTAGGCAAGTGAAAGTCAATCTTCTGCTTTTGGATGCTATCAAGTAAATTCCGGCTTATGCCAAGTTCTTAAAAGACTTATGCACCCAAAAGAGGAAGAACAAAAGCCAAACACCTAGAAAAGTGGTCTTAACTGAGCAAGTAAGCTCAATTTTGCAACATAACACTCTTCCGAAGTTTAAGGACCCCGGTTCACCTACCACTTCATGCATCATTGGTGATCATATCATTAATCGAGCTCTTCTAGACTTAGGAGCAAGTGTTAACCTTCTTCCATACTCGGTGTATGACAAATTAGGCTTATGAGACTTGAAATCGACGTCGGTGGTTTTGCAACTTGCCGACTGATCAATCAAAAAGCCTAGGGGTATCATTGAGGGTGTATTGATCAAAATTGATAAATTCTTCTTTCCCGTTCCAAATTCTAAGAGCCAGATTCCCGTTATCTTTGGCCATCCCTTTTTGGCAACCGCAAATGCCAACATTAATTATAGGACGGGGATAATGAAGATTTCATTTGGCCACATGAAGGTAAAGTTGAATATCTTTAATCCAACCCCTAATTCATTTGACAAGCATGAAGAAGTGAATGTTGTAGAGAAATGTCATAACTATGAATGTGAAGGAATAGAGTCTTTGCTTGAAACCAAAATTTCAAAAAGTTCATCTTCAACCTTGAAACCAAAGAAAGTTGTTTCAAAGTCTTGTTTTGAAAGGGCATGGAAGCCCAAAGAAAGTTGTTTCAAAGTCTTATTTGTTGGGTAGAGTTCAAAGTACTTATCACCCCGTTAAGGAGTGGATGCACTACAAAATGTTTGATCCGGGCTAAAAGAGCCCAACGTCTTACTAGAGACGTTAAAGACTAGTGCATTTCGTAGGGTGTCACAACCCTATTCCTCCCTCATTTCTATCTTAAATTTTATTTCTTGTGAAGTCTAGATATTTGTTTTGAGTTCATATGCATTGCTAGGACTTGTGATTAGGATTGCATGCACTTTAATGTTGAAAATGAGCATTTTGTTTCAGTTCGATCGATCTCCAAGGAGGTTCGATCGATCGAACTCCATACCTGCATCCAATTACCTCTCTGTCCAATCGATCTTTGAAAACTTACATATTTCAACTCTCTGTCAGATTGATCAGAAGTACTTCGATCGATCGAGACTCATCTTGGATCGATCTGCAACGTCCAACACTTAGAAAATTTTTGAACTCAGAAAACTTGCATATTTTACCTCTCTGTCAGATCGATCGAACCTATTTGCTTGTTTTTGCTAGATCGATCTCAACTCTTTTTGACTTTGACTTTTGTTTATTTTCTTTTTATTTTATTTTTGAAAAACTTAAAAAAATATATAATAATATTTTTTTTTTCAATTTTCCATTTTTAATTTTCTGTTTATTTTTATTTTTATTTTTGTCATTATTTAATTTCCAAACAAAATCCAAAAACATTTTGGATTTTTAATTTTTAATTTCTAAATTTTAAATTTTTAAATTTTAATTTTCCAAAATTCAAAAATAGTTTTAATTTTTAAATTTTATTTTATTTATTTATTTTTTTCAGAAAAATAAAAAAAAAATTTCAAAAATAATTCTGTCATTTAAGAAGAGAGATCGATATCAGTTAGATCGATCTGAGTTTTCAGTTCGATCAATCAAACTGATTCGGGAATGTTTTTTAAAATTGAATCTAGGGTCATTCGATCGATTTCAAAGATCGATCTCAAACCTTAGGAGCCCTTCACCGCTGTAACCTAACTCTTTTCCATCTCTGGCGAGTGCTCCGGCAAGCATCCCAAGCGTCGAATCTCTCTCCCTCATCTCGGACCTCAGATTTCATCTCTTTCCTTTCGCATCTCATCTTCTCTCTCAGTTTTAGGTGAGATCAGAGATCTCTTCCTTTGATTCAAGCTTATTATCGTGCATCCAGGCTTTGATGTTAGATCTAGGATGTTGCCATGCTTGATTATAGCCATTGATGAGATTTGAAGCTTTGTATATATGTGTATATATATGTATATATATCGATTTTATATTTTTGTTTTTAATTTTTAATTTTGGGGGTCACGGGCCTAATTAAGTGACCAAAATTGTTGATTTGTTGTGTTGAGGGCCCCACAAAACTTGTTTGGGTGCCCCTGTGCCATCCACGTCACAGATCTGTGACGGTTTGCATCAGTTGCAGAGTTCGATTGATCGAACGTTTTCTCAGATCGATCTGATGAGATCGATATCACTCAATCCAACTTAATTCCAGATTGATTGAACTTACATCGATCTCACATTTTTGTGATCGATCGAACTTCACAGATTTGCATCACACACTTTATCATCATCTTTTGTGTTCCATGTTATCTCCTACATGCCCAATGCCTGTGTTTTCCACATTGGATGCATTTCGTACTTATACTATCTAGCATGCTTCACATTATGTCACTTATTCCTTATCATAGATTCATGTTCCTTATCTGTTTTGCCTATCTTATTTAACATACATGATTCTATAAACTGTGCTTTAATTCTTTATACCGGCACTGACTTCCTTTTTGAGTATTCTTTTATTTTGCAGGCCATGACTCGATACAAGACTATTGCCAAGCGGCAACATGGCCAACAGAGGAGAGTCAGGCAGAGGACAGAGGATCCAAGAGAGCCCTCTCACATTCAGGAGGAGCCAGTAGAGCTTACTCCACCTCAGTCTCCATCTTCTGACAGCAGATTGCACTCCTCTGCTTGTGCATCATCTTCTCCTCAGGCTGATCCTGAGTACATACCATCTCTATCACCACCACCAGCTCAGCCAGCCCAGCACTTAGACCGGCCATTGCCGAGATACTCACGCCTTTCAGTGGCGTATGAGTCAATTTTTGATATAGACTTCTTCTCCCGGTATAGTCTGACCTGGCATGCATGCGATGACATTGACCGCAGGGGCATTTTAGCCATTCTAGCCACTATTACATACCCGGTTTACCCGAGGCTTGTTTGGATGTTCTTCCAGAACCTTCGACCGACCCTGAGTAATCTGGCGGAGCTGCGCACTACCGTGGATGGCCATCCTATCAGTATCATTGTGGACACTTTATCCAGATCTTGCCGATGTCCACATCTCTGCCCTCCAGATCTCCAGGATACCTATCCTACTCTATGGAGGCCATCATATGCATTTATGGCCGAGGCACTTACAGGCCTTTATAGTGAGGGCGACACATTTGCTACTTACACTTATCTCCCTAATGACCTATGGTTCTTTGATTCGGTGTTGTACCGAAATGTATTTATGGTCGGCCACAAGATACAGAGGCGTGGCGATTTTCTGACAGCTCTTTATGCATTCTACACAGGGTGCTGGCTTTCCATTCCAGCACTGATATGGAGCGTCATGATGAAGCTCTATACAGACCATATCAGCAAGGCCAAGCCCAAACGGGCTAAGTTTCTTCCATTTGGCCATCTCATTACACAGATTTTGCGAGACCAGTGCTATCCCTTCCAGCCACGGGAGCGTCCTGAGACTGGGTCCTGTTCATTCACGAAGCAAGATTGGAATAAGACCTAAACTGCTCTTATCAAGAGTCTACAGGAGGATGCTACAGAGGCAGCTGAGGAGCTTGAGGAGGCGGAGATAGCAACAACAACAACAGAGGCAGACGCACCAGTAGCAGTGGACGATCCAGTAGTCGATCCAACTGCCATATATCTAGATATTGATTTAGAGTGAGAGCTGACAGTAGAGGATCTTCCACATTACTCTCCGGCAGGGTCGCCCATTCATGATGAGGAGCAGGCTCAGGATCATCATTCTCCCGATCCAGTAGTACCTGAGGCTCCAGCACAAACACCCAGCTTTGGAGAGCATCTTCAGGCTTTAGAGGATGGCATGGTTTCCATCCGGGCTGACATTGCTTCACTCCGTACAGATGTCATAGCCGCATTGCGAGACCTATCCAGAGACATCCACAGAGCACGCCCTACCTGTCTTTCCTCCTCCACTTGATCTTTCCATTCTTCTTATTCCTTTTATATATAGGTGATATCTACATACTTTTGATACTGTTATAGTATTTTTGCAGCCAGTCTGTTGGCCTTGATACTGGATGTACATTTATGTTATTCATTTTCTTTATGCCTAATTCTGTTTTGTTTTGGATGTCATGTTGTATATTGATATATCTGTTTGACTCCATCTATCAGGTGCATCCCAGTGACTCCAGTGAGTGAGTGCTGCCTAAATTTATTAAGACCACCCTTATACCTCTTTCTCTATTTTCAGTTACTATCCCATTTACACTTGCATGTCCACTGTGCATTATTATTATTATCTCTTTTGTTATCTGATGAGTTTTATCCAAGTGCCATATTTTTAGGACCACAGTTAATCCCAAGTTTGGGGGGGCTAGGCCACCTACTTTGGATAGTTTTGTCCTGACCATTCTTTACCTTAGTTGCACTGGTATACTCTTTCCCTTTGTTCTCTTGCACATTGAGGACACTGTGCCATTTAAGTTTGGGGGTAATGGTGCTTTGCAGTGTTTACTTTAAATTCAAACTTTTGAGCATAAATTTTGTATTTAAGGGATTGTCTATGATTGGTCCATAACTAGCTATAATTTTGATCTTTTGAGGACTATATTGCTTAAAATTTAAAAATTGCTTGACTTGAGAGTCTATTACTCCTTGTATGCCTTATGGATGCCATTTAGGAGTAAATTTTTCAAAAGATTGATGTCTTGCTTGCACATGTGGTCCACATCATCTTGATTTTGTGATTGTTTTGAGATTCACTGTAATGACCTGGTCATTTTTCTTCCTTTTCTTTTTCTCAGATTTTTACGGATATTTTTTTTCCGTTGTCTTTTCCTTTTTGTGTTCGGTTTTTCATCACTTGATGTCGTCTCGAGTGCTCTGGAATGATTTTCGAGACTCTTTTCCTTGGATTGACAACTTCCTTTGGGGATTGTGTCATTTCCATATTTTTTATTTTTTCGAACACTATTCACATTTTGTCTTTTTCTCGTTTATCCTTTTTTCCTTGCACAACCTTACTTTTTGTGCTCGGATTTGATTCCAGTTTTGCATGCATTCATGATATTTGATTTTCATGATAGTGGTATTTTTACTTTTCTTAAAAAGTATGTTAATTGCTTACTTCTTTCATAAAGGGGCATTAATACATACTTTAGTGTAATTATCCTTAACTTGTGAGGTTTTAGTGTAATTAAATAAAGTAATTATTTTTCATCTTGGGGACCATTTTGCAATTAAATTTGGAGGATATTTTCAAGAAGGACCTTTTTGTAATTTTTGAAAAGTGTGACAAGTGTCACACTCTCTTTGGTCCACTTGTTGACATTTGTGTGGAAACATTTTGATGCATTGGATGATGACATTTGGAGGGTGAGGATTCACCCACTTGTTGGCCTAGAATTGGTGCACTTGTTGGCTTGGATGGTTGAAAAGTGTAGGTGTGGGATTAAGCCTAGGAAGGAGCCATAGATTGGTGACAAGTGTAGGGCCACAATTTAGTCTTGCAAATATCTTTGGGCCACTTTGGGATTATGGTTTTAAAGGAGAGTTTTTGTGCAATTGACCATAAATGTGTGTGTTGACCATGGTATAAGATCACATAGTGAGTGGAGGATTTCTATTTCCTCCACTCACACTTCATTCATTGTTTTCATTATCTTCCTCACCATAAACCCTAGCCTCCATGGATGAAGCTTAAAGCCTTAAGCTTTGACTTTGATTATTGAGAGCCTTCCATTGATTTCTAAGCTTAACCTTGTGAATATTTTTTGTTCCCCTCATCCTTCTCTTCATAACCCTAGAAGGGTTTTCCATTTTGAGCTTGCTTGCCTTGGATTCAAGAGGAACAATCCTCTTGTGAGGTATGGGATGTTATAAGGTTATATGTTTGTTATCTTGCATGTTTTTTTATGCTTATATGACTTTTATGCTTGAATTGTGTTAATTTGAGAAATTATGATTAATGGTAGTTTGCTTGTAACTCACTTTTGACTTGGTATATGGTATGGCCATGACTTGATCTTTGTTGTATGTTAATTTAGAATGATTTTAATAGGTTCTCAAATCTAGAGATTTAATGAATTTAATTTGATTTAAATTCTAGTAAATTGTGTATTGCTTGTATCCCATTTTGGACTTGATATATTGTATGACTATGACTTAGTGCTTGTTATATATTTATTTGGGATCATTTGGGTGACTTTTGAAAATTAGAGATTTAATTAATTTAGGATTAATTAAATTCTACATGATGGTATCTTGCCCACTTTGCACTTTTGATTTGATATATGTAATAACCATGATATGTCTTTTAACATATATTATTTTGAGGGCATTTGGAAATGAATTGAAATCTAGAGAGTTTAATTATTTTCATTTAATTAAACTATATCTTACTGTTCCATGGATTCAAGCATGTTCTAGAAATTGCTTCTATATTAGGATCATGGACTTAGATTTGTTTTATACTCACTTGGTTATATTTTGAGCATTGGATAACCTAGTTGTTATATTAATATTCATGAGAATGTGTTTTCCTTAATGAATATGTTGTTGCCTTATGTAAGAAATTGCACTATTTGTATTGGACATTTTTCATGCCATAGTAGTTGTAGACTTTGTGCATGTATTGTATATGTTTCCAAATTTGGTTGTGCTTTGTAGATAGTTGATATCTTGTATATGCATGTTGATATATACATTGTTTCACAACTTGTTGATTTTGGAAACTTGGGGATGTCGTTGTTTGGTTACGGCTAGGACTTGGTTCTAGTACGGGGGATTGTCCCTCTATATAGTCTAGTGTGCACTTAGGGAGGTTACCCATGAGCTAGTAACCCTAAAGTAACTATGGTGTCGGTCTGATCCGGCGTGACGTCCAAGTATCCACTTTGGTTGATTTCATATTTCGTTTCAAGTTGATAACTTTACGATGTTATAACTTACTTTGATTCTCCATATTTTGTTGCAAGATGTTAACCTTGTGAAATCATGCTTTATGCGGTGTATCGGAAGTTCCAATGTTAGTTAAATTGTATTGATATCATGATTTTTGTTTTGGTGTTCAAATGTGGCTTAGGAATGACCCTATAAATTCATTTGGAACATAGACGTTAGGTGGCATGACCTATTTTGGTAGTTCTTGTGTTTTAAATTTCAAGTCGATAACCTTGAGAATCTATATGTTATTGCTTTGTGTAAGCATGCTCCTATGTTGTTGCTTTGTGTAAGCATGACCCTATGTTGCTAAAATTGCATGAATGAGGTGATTGATGCTATAAATGATCTCAGGTAGCTAGGATGCTCCTTGAGTCTCACCTTTGACATAGACGTTAGGTGGAATGAACCACAATAATTAAATCATGCAAACTTGTAAAACGTAGGTCGATGCATGCTCATTTCCTACGAGTACCTTTATGTTACTCACCCCAACGATATTGGGGCATATTTCAGGTAGAAGAATCAAAGTTGAGGCCTTCATTATGCTTGGATGGCTTGTGGACTTGGAGACTTCCATTTTTGTGAAGGTTGGCTTGGAATGCCAATTATAGTCTTATATGTCAACATGTGTACATTTGATTCCTTATATATAATGTGTACATAAGTACACTCTTTACGATGTATTTGACATGTATGAGATGAGGCCAGAGGCCAATGACATGTAATTTATATCCTATGTAAATTTTGACTTCATGGAATATTATGAAAGTATTGAAAAATATTGAGTTTTTGCTCCACCATGTTTGCATTGGGTGTGGGAATTCCATTTTGATTCTTTCATTAGCATTCATTCACCATGTATGAAGTGTGGCCAAGGGCCAAGCGGCATTTTGAAACCATCTCATGATTTTGAATTCCAAGTTTTCATTCCAAATTACATTTTTGGCATTTTTGCCATTGGGGGGTTATATTTTGCATCGGCCATATTTTTGGGCCATGGACCATTGTAGCACATCTTATTAGGTAAGTTACGTTTGCAAGCATAGTCGTTTCTGGGCAAAGTTTCTTCTTTGGTGAAATGAGCCTCCTACGGACTCATTTTACACTTTTGTTGCATAACCTGACCTAAGGGTATTTTGGAAATTTTTTTTAGGAAATAAATTCCGTTCTTCACATGGTTGAATAAAAAACATGTTTTTAGGGGGGGTTTATTTTTCGTGTTTCTCCAGAAAATGTCATCTTGGCATCGGAAATCGCATCTGAAGTTCAGCTCTCAGTTTTTAAATTTAGTAACTTTTTGGACCCTGTGGACCTGTTTTCTTGGGAGGGCATTTTGGGCATTTCACAGTGATTTTTTTCAATTTCTCTCATGATTCATGTAGAAAACTCAATTTTAAGGAGGGTTTCTTCTTTGAGTTTTTCCAGAAAATGCCAGCTTGGCCCTCAAATTTTCATTTTTTCCGGAAAAACCCTGCTGCCAGGTTTTTGGGTCACACCATTACTGCCCCTTCACATCTAAATGTTTAGATGGGGCTTCGTAACCGGTTACATGTGCATGGGCAGTGTTTTGGTCAAATTTTTTGGCCTTCTAACCGGTTAGAAGGATTTCCTAACCGGTTATATGCTCTTGGGTTGGTATTTTTTGACCATTTTGCCCCTGTTTCTTCCGTTAGCCATATCTTCTTCATCCGGACTCCGAATCAAGCGAATTTTAAGTCTAAGTTTATTATTTTTTCATTTTCTTTCCAATGGTGTGCTCGGTGGCAGCCACTTTTAAGCTGGAAATGATAATTTTACCCCTAGGTTCTTTCTTGTCCCTTTTTGAAAAGTTGCTTCCACAATTGTTTCCTTTGGGTTCTGTGACCTCATTGAGTATCACATTGGTGTCTTAGAGATGCATGGTATCTCTAGAGATCATGTTTCATCTTTTGTTTCCGTATTCTAGATCCAGTTCGGGTCATCACAGGACACTCTAGGTTAAAAAATCCAGGGTCGTCACATTCACTCTAGTATTCAACACTAGCACATGCGCACACTAGCATTCATTTGTAGGGTACATGCTTTGTTGATTATTGAATTGGTTATATCCCAATTGGGCTAGTAGTTTATTAAAAGCGTTCATTCTTAAAAAAGGTGGATAACAACCCCTTTTCATTAAGTAGCTGGGATTCTAACCTCATCAGGCACTGAATTTCTCGCGCCGAAAGGAGGGCCCAAACTCTAGGTTAATAATTGTTTATTCAAAAAAAAAAAAAAAAGAAAGAAAAAAAAAGAAAAAAGAAAAAAGAAAAAGAAAAAGTTGCAAAAGCAATAAAAAGTGAGGACTT